GCAGTGCTGGAGATCAAACCCCAGACCTCTAACATGCAAGGCAAGCACTCTACCACTGAGCTATACTCCCAACACTACCTAATGTCTGACATTTTATATTCTACAGTTTTTTTAAAAGTCTAATTTGTTATATATTACAGCAGAATGCATTACAATTCATATTACACATATAGAGCACAATTTTTCATGTCTCTGGTTATATACAAAGTATATTCACACCATTCATGTCTTCATACATGTACTTAGGGTAATGATTTCCATCTTAATCTACCGTCTTTCCTACCCTTCTGCCCACTCCCTTCCCCTCCCACCCCTCTGCCCTATCTAGAGTTCCTCTATTTTTCTCATGCTCCCCCTCCCTACCCAACTATGATTCAGTCTCCTTTTATCAGAGAAAACATTTGGCATTTGTTTTTTTGGGATTGGCTAACTTCACTTAGCATTATCTTCTCTAACTCCATCCATTCACCTGCAAATACCATGATTTTATTCTCTTTTATTGCTGTGTATATTTACCACAATTTTTATTTAATCATCATCTACTGAAGGGCATCTAGATTGCTCCCACAGTTTAGCTATTGTGAATTGTGCTGCTATAAACATTGATGTGGCTGTGTATTACTATGGTGTACTCTTTTTAAGTCCTTTTGGTATAAACTGAAGAGTGGGATACCTGGATCAGATGGTGGTTTCATTCCAAGTTTCCCAAGGAATAGCCATACTGTTTTCCATGTTGATTACACCGATTTTGCAGTCCCACCAGCAATGTATGAGTGTGCCTTTTACCCCATATACTCACCAAGACTTATTGTTGTTTGTATTCTTGATAGCTGCCATTCTGACTGGAGTGAGATTTCATCTTAGAGTAGTTTTGATTTGCATTTCTCTAATTGCTAGAGATGATGGACATTTTTTTTTGTATATTTGTTAAATGATTGTATATCATTGTGAGAAATGTCAGTCTTCTGAGAAGTGTCTTTTCAGGTCCTTGGTCCATTTATTGATTGGGTTATTTGTTTTTAAGTGGTGTTAAGATTTTTGAATTCTTTATATATCCTAGAGATTAGTGCTCTATCTGATGTGCGTGTGGTAAAAATTGGCTCCCATTCTGTAGGCTCTCTATTCACCTCATTGATTATGGCTTTTGCTGAGAAGAAGCTTTTCAGTTTGAATTCATCCCATTTATTGATTCTTGATTTTACTTCTTGTGTTATAGGAGTCCTATTAAGGAAGCTGGAACCTAATCTGACTTGATGAAGATTTGGGTCTACTTTTTCTTYTGTTAGGCGCAGGGTGTCTGGTTTAATTCCTAGGTCCTTGATCCACTTTGAAGTGAGTTTTGTGCATGGTGAGAGACAGGGGCTTAATTTCATTTTGTTGCATATAGATTTCCAGTTTCCCCAGCACCATTTGTTGAAGAGGCTATCTTTTCTCCAATGTATGTTTTTGGCATTTAAAAATGTTAAAATAGTAGAATTTGGTGGGAAAAAAAGAAAAGAAAAAAGAATACACAACACAACTGTAATATATTATTCAGACATCACAGTCCTCAAAAATCCTAATTCATGCAAAGTACTTGGTTTCACATATGTTGGGGATGTGAAGGTGGGAGAATGGAGAGGGAGAGGAAAAAAATMTTGAAGAAAGAAATAGGGATTGTTTTGGTTGGAGATCAGTATCTTTCCTGCTTCTCTTCTCATCCAATAGGTGGGGTTGTCTGTTGTTAGCTGGTATCTCCACCCTCAGGATGATGAAGGTAACCAGGGTGTCACTGTGCCGGGGTAGTGGCACTGGGGAGAGGGAGAAGATAGAAACTGGGTACCTGGCCAGCTGGAGTTCCAAACTGGGAGTTGCCCCCACTGAAGATGGCGATGAAGGTGACCCAAGACTGAGGTGCCTACTTTCAGCGATGGCATGTTGGGTTGAGTAGGGGAACTGGGCGATGGCGTTGGATGATGAGTTCTGGTATGTGAGATGTGAGAGATGATGAGCTCTGTGGTGTGCAGTGTGTGGCTGTCGGCTGACTTCAGAGCTTGTATAAAGTTCTGGCGTGCAGGCAGGGTACTATGCGTAGGGGACTATCTCCGCTGCCACAGAGTCCCAAGATGGAGGGGACTTGGGGAGCCCCTAGCTGGAGGTCCACAAGGGAATGGCAGCTGGAGTTCCTGTGAGTGGGAAGCTGCCGGGGAGCTGCGTGGGAGCAGCGTCCATGACTTCTGCTCAGGTGGTTGGCCGAAAGTTCTGCATGGGTGTGTTGTCCATAGTCCTACTCAGGGCGAGTAGTTGGGAGACCTACTGAGGCCTGGAGCCCTGGACGGGGCAGGGTGACTGTGATTTCTGTGGGGGAGCAGGAACATCCCTCGCAGAGAAGCAGTATTCTCACTACTTGAGTCCCAGGTCACAGAGTGACACTGAGTGCTGCCTCCCTTTGGCCCCCAATCTTGGATCCTCTGCTCACTTGTTTTTGAGTTTTAAAATACTATYTTGTTACCCATGTATAATAGTATTTAAAACCTTTGCTTAGTGAGACTTAGGATAAATTCTACAGTCACTTCTAGAATATGAAAGATTTTGGGGCAATTTTAAAACCTCAAAAACACTTCCTGTTCTTTAATTTGTAGCTGAGCCCAATGTTTGAGAGTTCAAAACCTCCAGATGGCTTCAAAAGCAATGACTTAAGATGTTATCCCAATAATACTACTATTTGTCTTGCATTCTTTAATATTGCTTACTTTATGTCAGGCACTGTGTGAATGTTTTACACATTCATTTACTCTTCCCTGCAAATCCCAGGTAGGTTTATTTTTCCCATCTTACAAATTATTTCTATTTACAATTGAGGCATGGGGAAGTTAATGTGTCTAAGGAGTAATAGCTAGTGAATGGTAAATCCAAGGCAGTCTGGGTTTATCAAAGATTATTTACTCCAGCCTGGAGTAAAGGACCTATGGCCAGCCAGGTAAACAGATCTTGGGTCCTCCCCTGAGAAAACCCACCCTGGTCTTTCTTCCATCCAGCTACCTATCTGCCAAAAGTACCCAGTCATTGGCAATTTAGGATTCAAAATTAAGCAATGCAACTCCCATTATACAAAGGATCAATATCCAGAGTAAAGAAATATCTCTTAAAGGTTATTCAGGAGGAATTAAACTCCTAAGACTTTTAGAAATAGTTTTATTTGTATATGGATCACTTAAAACATTATTTCCTACATTTTCATAATCTCTTCTTTCTTCTTTAGGGCTAGGAAATGTGGGTGAGAGAAAAGGGCCAGAGGATTGGTTCTGAGGAGAATACTTAAGATCTGAAGTTGTCTATCTGTGGCCAATAAAATGTCAAACTCAATTTACTTGTGGGTGTACTTGATTGGCAATAATATTCATTTGGTGGGGTATCTGTGTGATCATCCAGATACTGGATATACATTGTTTCATACTGAAAATATGCTAAGGAAATTGGTTATAGGTGGTGTCAATAGCATGTCTTCTGAAGCTRTATTTTAGCAGTTTTCCTAAACTTATCAGTTTTCCTAGTTACTAGTTTAAGGGATAGAGTAATGCGAAGAATAGCTTGCATTTATATTTTAAACCTATGGCTTTAGTTAATTTCCTAGTGTTCAAAATGAACTAAGCCTGATGATATTATTTAATATTTCAAAAATTTTATCCAGAAACTAACAATACAGATTTGTAACAAAAAGGGGACTACTAAAAAAAAAGACAAAGCATTTTATAAATACTGATAAATACTGTGTAATGCTTTAATTTACTGTGGTAGATACAAAAATCAAGAATTCATAACAGATTATTTATAAAAAAAGTAACAACATGAATTTTCTAGCTGTTTAAATTAACAAAATGTAACAGTAGTGGTTTTATTTTATAAATGAGGTATTATTACAATGTAAACCAAAAACAGCATAAATAAATAAGGGTAATGTGCAATTTAGTGATAAATGGTTATGACTTTCAACTCAGTAACAATAAATGACAAAAATTCTCCAGTTATTTATGAACTTCATCATTTAAAATTTGGCTTGCTTATGTATTTCTTACTTAAAATGACAAATCTATCAATATACAAGCACATCATTAAACATGCAGACCAGGCCAACACAATTTTTCCATGARTCATCTCTACCAAATAAAAACTTTGTTTACATTTTACTTGAAATACTTATATCTGATTTCTTATACGTAATTCTTTTGTGCTTATTAGTTAGTAGTAACCTACATTAAACATCTTACTTTCTAGTTCAAAGCAGGGTAAGACAGAAGCAGTTTTATTTGCATATGGGTTAAAAACAGTATAACAAAACAAATCAAAACCAATATGCCTTTAACTCTCTTAGGCTTTCCAAGATTTTAAAGAAGAAATACCCTTTAACAGTATACTCAAATGGAAACACATAGTCACTTTTGTCTCAAAGAGAATAGTAAATGAAATAACTACTTTTCCTCAAATAGATTTGTGGTTTGGGTTCAATATGGTCAGAAAACAAGTTGATTAATTCCTCCACCCTTGAAGAATTCTGCTGGTTGGGTGCAGGAAGTACAGCAACAAGAACATAGCCTAAACTTATAAAAATTTTGGGAAAATATTATTTGCCTATGAACCATATGCTGGTACTAAATGCTGGTTTTATTATTATTGCAAATAGAACTTCAGAATTTTCTGAAGGAAAGCTAGCAAAGAATAGAGAAGTCTTGATTTGGATATATTTGTAACATGCTAATAAAACTGCTTCATTTGCTATGGATTTAAAGAACCCATTTAYTGTGACTTAAAATACAGTTTCTTTTTACATGCTACTTTATTAGAAACAAAACAGACAAACAACAAAGGGTGCTTTTGAATTSGATATGTTCGGAATCCAGTGAAAAACAAACATTTTGGCCAAAATATTGAACTTAAATTTTATACCAAGTAACATCATTTTGACACAAATGTTGCTATTGTATTCACTTTTGTCAAATACCTTWTCCTATTTTTTTTTCAAAAATTAGTGTTTCATTACAATTGGTGATCAAAAAATGTAGATTGTACATCAATCAATTACAATTGGTGATCAAAAAAGGTAGACATAGTCAATCAAAATATATATAAAAGCAGTTCTTTTTTTTGTGCTTGTAATTGACTTAATTCATCAATGGTTAAGTTAGATCCAATTTTTTTCTAATGTCTTGATCCTTAAGAAGAAATGATCATTATACAAATATTACAGAGTATTCAGGTAACTAGTTACTGCCAATGTGCATGCAGACTAACAATACTTAAAAGAATATAACCTTGAATCCAATTAGTCTGAAAATACTCTTGTACAATCATCTTTATTGATTTGTAAAAGCTGTATACACATCTAAAACCCTGAATTTACTTTGTAAAAATAAATCTTTAGCAATAAATGACACTATCAAAATCCCATTATTTCTCAGGCTATTATGTAATTATTTACATGCTTTTCAGCAATAGTTGAAAAGAATCTTATAGGACCCAAAGCCAGTATATCAAAAAACCCTGTAAACTGCATTTGCAATTATACTGTTGTTTACCTCTATATGAAAATATGGCTACATGCTTTATGGTAAATATTATGTAGCTATTTGCTTTGCTACTGTGTGCTAGTAGCACATAATCTGCCACTGGGTTGACTATGTCCTAAATGCATTYTTTACTACCCTTCATTTTCCCAGTGGAACACCTGTGGCAAACTACTTATGGAAAATGATAAAGTGCTAAAAAAAATGAGTGACTGGACTCATATCTGTTTCTGCCATGTGGTCTTTTCCTCACTCAAGAAAATTCTGTGTTTTTAGAAAATCATGCCTTCACTTAACAGACTTCATAATTGATTACAAAAAAACCCAAAAAACCAAAAACTAAAAAAACAACAGCTCAGTCTTTTAAAGTTGGAGCTTTTTGAAAGTRTTTTGAGACAGAAACATGAAAAGGTTAAAGGCACAATAAGAGGGAAGTGAATGCTACATATAAAATATTATATTTCAAGTCTTTTAGGCTACTCRAGTCCAAAACCTTCTGAATTTGAAATTCCAATGATCAATTTCTGTTTCAGGTCTTTTTTGCTCTTGTAGGGGGGAAGGCAAAGTTGATTGAAGCAGGTGTGGGCCACAGGTAACCTAGGGAAAATAATTTTTTGAAAACATTAAGTCTTAAAATACACACAAAATGACTGCTAAAGAAATTTTTAAAATATCAGACACAATCTATTTTACTTTGTCAAGATATGATTCATGTATTCCTATACTGAACAAGTATTTATTTAGTACCTAACTAGTACCATTCTGGACACTATGGCTACATTTACAGACTAGACAATCAATATCCCTGCTCTAATGAAACTTTCATTTGAAAAGCATCTGTTTTGGAATCAGACAGATCTGAATTTGAATATTGCTTTCCCCACTTATTAGCAATGGGGACTTTCTTTGAGTTGCTTAAAGTCTTCAAATCTTTGTCTCAATCAACACAATAGGGTAAATTATCCAATTAAATTGTTTAAAAGAACAGATGAGCTATCTACATAAAACACCTAGAAAGTAAAAGATAATATAATGTTAATGTATTCCAGTCCGAATCATCAAAAAGTTATGAAAAGAGCACTTTGGGAACCCTAATGGATACACTTTTTAATGTTTTTGCCTTAGGCATCCTCTGGATTCTTTGGTTAGCTCCCCTAACCCCTCTACCAGACGACATTGTTTTCTTCATTCCAGATTTCTATAGAATCTTAGATCCTTTCAGTTTTTATGGACTCATAGCATCAGAATAGCTATCAGAGAAGTCAACAAATAAAAAAATGAGAATACACCAGAGAAAAGGAGAACATTTTTAAAGAAGTTTATATGATTAGAAACTGAACTTTGAGAGCTCTYCTGACTTAATAATAATTAGGATCAGTTAACATTTACTGAATGCTTGTCTATGATAAGCATTGTGCCTAATGCTTTTACATATATTACTTCATTTAAGAGTCAAAACAACCTAAGAAGTCGTTATTAGTTTCATTTTATAGCTGAAGAAAAATATATGTGGAAGTATACAGGTTAAATAACCTATTCAAAGCTATAGAGCTGGTAAAGAGGTACACCTCAGATTCAAACCCAGATCAGTCTGACTCAAAACCAGTGCTGTAACCTGTAAATACTTAAAATTCTTATTTAATAAAAATGGAGTGTATTTTCATGGTGGGTGGAGGAGTGGAAACTCCCCTTTTATCTGAATTGTTGTTCTCTGGGTCAGATTGAAATGTCATGTGTCTGTGACAGATACATTTAATCTATGTGAAATTTCCACTGGGAGTCCTAGCATTGTGGTATATTCATGATTAAGCCATATTAGCGCATGAAATAATCACTGAAATAATAATAATAATAATGATTTAAAAAGTTTATATGTAATTGACATTATTTGTTTGTTGTATTATTTATTCAGACATCTATTGTTTTATTAGTAATTATTGTTTTACTATTATTTGTATTAAAATACACTACTCAGATTACCTTTTTAAATGGTTATTTGGCTGGGGATGTAGCTCAGTAGTAAAGCATTTGCCTATCATGTACAAGACCCTGGGTTTGATTCCTAGCATCAAGCACAAACAAATTAAATTGATAGTATTTTTGTTAATATAAAATATTCTGAAAAATTAATTTCTGTTGAGCAAATAAATCTGAAAGCTTGGAAGGCTTCTCATGTAGTTTTCTCATTTTAGGTCTTTAATTATAAATCTAGTTCAGAAATAGTAATTATATACACATATGTGTATAAACATTTGTTTTAAGTTTTGAAATATAATTCTGATGTTTGCTTAAATATTTGTTAAATGTATGGGCTATAGGGAGAATACAAAGGCATATAAGGCTTGGCCTCTGCCTTGAAGAGCTAAATGACTTAAGATATAAAATATAATACAGTAAATAGAATTATCACTTCAGTGTTCGAGGCACTCACTGAATGAATGATGACTTTTGGCTTACAGAGGAAGTAGACATTGAACTGGGTCTTCCAAAGAGATAGCAAGCAAATATTAAATGTGAAGAGAAAAACTTAAAGTCGTGGAGGAAGGAAGGCATGGAATGTGTTTAAGAAACTAGCAAAACAGCCTGTTGATCAGAGCATTAAAAAAATGAAAATGATACATAGTATGGAAGGATATAGAGCTTTGTTTGATAGGTTCTAGATTCTAGAACTTAAACTTTTGGGGAGCAATGAAGTATTACTGTCCTGGAAAACATCATGATCAAAACAGTGTTAAAGAAAATGAGCTTAATAGGACAATTTAATTAGACAAGAAAGAACCTGAGCAGGTAAATTAGGAAGAAGACTATTTAAATAAGTTAGGACTGAGGTAAAAAGTTAACTAATYAGGGTGGTAGCAATGGGGAAAGCAAAGGACAGCTCTAAAATGAAGAAAAAACTGACAGGACTTGAGGAATATTCAATGCATAGAATAGGAGGGGAAAAATGATTATACTCAGAGTTTGTATCTACTCAAATTGGCTTTAGTAATTACAAAGTATTTGGGAAAAGTAATAAGTAGATAAGCATTAACCAATAAACAGTACTAGCAAATAATTCAAAGCCATTCTCAGTACCACTTCATTATGTAAAGAGCATGACATTAAAAAAAGACTTGTTTTAGAGGTGCCTATAGTGCTAAGTATAATAGGACCAAACCCCTATAAATAAATAAGAAATTCCAAATTACTAWTTTCCCTAAAAATAAAAACTATATTTAAATACAAAGGAAAGTTAGACAATATACTACTACCAAGTAGGCTAGGTTCTAAAAGAGACTACAAAGCAATTATTTAACCTAGCAAAGTAAAAAGTTGATGGAAATTAATTACTATCAATTAGTACTGGTATGTGTCAAAAGCTAATAGAGAACTTTCAGCTAAAGTCTTTCTCATTTCAAGGCCATGTTTACTCTGAAGATTCTTCTATGAAAATGATTTCAGATTAAGAGAATCTTCTAATTCCAAATATAATACTGTTATTAGTAATAACCTATAAATTAAAATAAAATTATAATCTGGAAATTTACCAGTTAGTAGAAGTTTCATTCTTTGAGATTTTAAAGTTCAAATCAGCCATCCCTCCTACAGGAACTCTGTCACTTCCTGTAGTAAAATGTAGCAATTTCTTTTGAAGATCAAGAGGAAATCCAAGTACAACATCCCAAAAGTATCTATAAAACAACAAAGGAAATTTACATGAAATAGCCTGACAAAAATTCATGTAGATCATAATAAAGAAATATGAAGTAAGATATGAGAAAAAACTTTCCTTACAATATATAATATCCCTAATGTAAAATTAAAGAATGAGTTTCTATATATGAATCAGATTTTTGAATATTATTATAAATAACAATTTTATAAAATTACATAAATAGTCCAATAATAGATAGTACAAAACTCATTTTTGTTCCATACATAACTTACAAGTCTTATCAACACAATGCTATTTTTTCACCCAGTACTGGGGATTAAATCCAGGGCTTTGTTCATGCTAGGCAAGCACTATACCTAGGAGCACCTCCCAGCCCAACAAGTGCTATTAAAATGCTATTTGTAAATATAGACCAAAGTTACTTTTTAAAATAAGTGAAAAATATACTTTTATAGAAAGTCATTTGCAGGGCTGGGTTGTGGCTCAGTGGGTAGAGTGCTTGCCTAGTGTGTGCGAGGCCCTGGGTTTGATCCTYAGCACCACATAAAAATAAATAGAATAAAGGTATTGTGTCCAACTACAACTAAAAAATAAATATTTAAAAAGTCATTTGCATAACTTTTTCCCAAGGGGATTTCTAAGAGATTTCATATTTAGTATTCTTATTACTTTCTACAGATGAAATAAGATAGTAAAGGATTCAGTTAACTGATTCATATTATAAGTTATACAAATAAGCAAACCATATTCTATTTGTTCTCTTTTCTACAACCCCCTACCAGAAGTATAAGGAGCTCACCTTATAGTTAAGTCTGTTTTCGCATACCCATCATACTGAGTACTTCTCTGTAGAGCATGCATGTCCAGTTCAGGACTTCCACAGACCAGAATTTCGACTTCTTCTGGACGAAGCAGCTGTCAATAATTATCAAAAATCATAATTAAAGTGATGTTTTTTTAAAGTGATGGTTTTAAATGAAAAAGGAACTATTTTCACTGACTCAAATCACAAAAATCATGACTTGAAATCAAATAATTTTTRTTAAAGAAAAATTGTTTCCACTTGCATTTTTCCTACTGAAGTAAGATATTTTTGCATTAAGGTTTATTATACCTTATAAAATAGTAATTAGTAGTTTGTCAGAAAAACAAGCAAATGACTTAGCATGAATCCAAATTACTCTTCTCCCAAAGCATCATGAAGCCCTTATATCTACTGATTTGCCTGCCTTCTACCAATATCCCACAAAACCATCTTAGTGCACTGAAGAGCTTGGGTATTTACAGTCTGTTTTGGTGCTCACTTGTTTCACCCTTTAGGTGGTTAGTCTCTCACCTAAGAGATTAAATATATCTAAAATAGAGATCATGATATGCCATTTAATTCTTATTTTAACTCTTTCCMTCCCCACAACCATCGGTGTATCATAATTAAAACTTAGACTTGATCAAATATTTTTTTCAAAGGTACTTTCAACAACAACATGCTATAAATATTGCTCAAAATCAAGCAGGATTAAAGATCCCTGCTCCTGCTCCAAAGTAACTTCTACAGTCCATTTCTTGGTGCTAAGAAAAATAATWCAAATGAAAGATTTTATTTCAATCATTCATAAAATTGAAGGGAGATACAAGTGGCACAGTTGAATTTGCTCTGGGTACTGGGGTGAAGGGTATCATCTGATATTTCCAACTTGACATTCTAACCCATATTCACACAATTAAGACAAGCCAAACCAACCTGAGTCAACCATGGCTCTGGCGATAAACTATTTCTTATGGGTAAGAGGCAACTCAGAGTTGCTAAGTGACCCTTGAGGAAGCAGAAAACACACACATGATAATCAGAGAGAAGTTCTGGCTTTTGCCCTGGAACTAAATGTTAACTCTGCTTCTGTCCTTGGGTCCCTCAGTTGTAAGCCTTAAGTTCATAAGTCTCTTCTACTTTCTTTGGGAGAGTTTTACAAGTCTTAAAACACACAGTATAAGACAGCAAAAGAGGAGAGGAAAAAAATGAAGTGACTGGGGTTTTTGTTTGTTTTTACCTCTAGAGAATGGGAGAATTATTAAGTAGAAAAATTTCCTAATTATAAAAGCATACTTAAGGAATTATTTGTCAATGTTATAGTATTAGAAAACCCAATTGAAAGCTTAAAGTTTTGAACTCACCATTAGGGCATTTGAAGCACACACACTATGAAATCCATAATAAAATGCAGCAAACTGCTTATAGATGGATTTGTTGATAAGGAAGTCAGTATAAAGCTGTACATATTCTGAAAAGCAATTTTACATTTGTTATGCAATAAAAGTAAATGGTAAATACTAGTTCATTTTATTTTAAAAATATCTTACCTTTCCTATTTTGATTGGTAACTGGAATTTTATCACCTCCTGGCTTTAAATTATAGGATTTAATTATTCCAAATTCTTCTTGAAAAACCTGATGGGAGATACCATAACAGCATGTTTATTGGTATCACTGACATAACAACAGGCTTAGATGAACAGGTTTGTAAATTTTAAAAAGAATAGGTATTGTCCCTTCCCTTTTGAACACATAACATACAACTAGCTGTGTGGTCATCAGGCGGATACACTTAGGATCTATGCGGATCACTGTAATTTCTATCTCCTAACTATTGTAAGAACAGTGAAAATGAGAGTGTTTTGGTCTGACCCATMAGATTCAACTCTTAACTTCTTGTGTTGATGCTACAGGAGAGGCTTAGTTTTGAAAACTAAAAATCCTGGAGAAAGTAACTGAGTAAAGGGAACATGTAAAACTGCCTAGCTGAGTACCTCATTCTTGGTGAATTTTCTTTAAGGACTTTCACTGACTACTTTACCACATGTGTCTGCTTCACTGTCTCTACCAGGTTAAGATCCTTTCAGAAGGGGATTGTGATGACTAATCCTTGTTCATCTTTTCTAACAGCAAGTGGTTAGTAACAAATAGCATTTTTCATATATGAGTTAATGGCTAACAAATAGCTATATGCCTATTAGTACCTGGAATGTTGAATAGAAATCTTCTTCAACATTGCCTTCATATGATAAGAGTTCAGTTAATCCGTGGGCCAATTCCTATAAAAAGAAATCTATTATCTATCTTTTCAGATCAACTAGTATTACCTTAAATAGTTAAATAGATCTATCATAGTTCACTTACATATGAGACAAAAGAGTAAACTATTTCAGATTTCAAAATAAGTATTTGAGATGTATTTTCCAGGATACAAAATGCTTGTTAATGATTTTTACCATCCAAAGGCTTAGGAAAACTCATTATAGGCCATGTAAGAAGAAGCTATCCAAAGAAACCATAGAAGTGTAACTGCAGGATCTATTCCTAAGCAGCAAGTGAAGGAAGCATTCCTCTACTGTGGTTTCCAGTATAACTCAATGCTATATTCTGCACTGCTGCTTCTTTCAATATCTTTTTTCTTTTCATACTGAAGATTGAACTCAGGGGCACTAAACTACATCCCCAGTCCCTTTTTTTTTTTTTTTAAATTTGAGACAGTTTCTCACTAAATTGCTGTGAGTCTCACTAAATTGCCCAAGTTGGCCTTGAACTTGTAATCTTTCTGCCTCAGCCTCCTGAGTCGCTAAGATTACAGGTGTTTGCTATCACACCTGGCTTCAATTTATATTCTTATTAAAATCTGCTAATGTCTTATGATTCACCTACTAAACATAAAATATGCAGTTTACATGTTAAGTAGTTCATACATTTTAGTTACTATGCCCTTCTCTCCCAAGGAAAAGTTCAGAAAACTGGAAGAAATATTTTCTTATATTTTGTTATAACTCAAATTATCCATGAATAAGGACTTAAAAATAGAAYGAGGGGCTGGGGTTGTGGCTCAGTGGTAGTAYGCTTGTCTAGCATGTGTGAGGCACTGGGTTTGAKTCTCAGCACCACATACAAATAAATAAAATAAAGGTCCATCAACGATTAAAAAATATTTTAAAAAATACAATRACTGACCTAATATTTCTGAAACTTTTTTAAGTTTCATGAAAAAATGAGTTTTATTTTTTAAATTATTAAAAAGATAAATAACAGAATGGTTGGAATTATTTTATATACTTTACACAATACATTGACCATACAAATCTAAGGTGGTATAGATTTGGCATAACTGTCATCATTTGTCTTAATTATTAAAAAAGACTATCCCACTGTTTACATAGAAAACTGGAGCACAGAAAGGTTAAGTTAAATGCAAATTCATAAAGCTAAAAAGTGAAGAGACTGGATTCAAAATCAAAGAAATCACTACTTCTGTGATTTCAAAGTCTGTTCTATTCTGTAAGAGCTTAGGCATGCTGCAAAGTGATGATGTGTTTCTGTAAAGAAGGGGGAAGCTATATGAAAAAAAAAAAAAGATGAGTTTCCAAAAGTAGAGGGAAACAATATTTAAGAATAAAATAGCACTAGAAGGAGAAAGACTGTTTAGGTAGAAGAGACATAATTTAGCATTAAGGGACTAGATGTCAGTAATCTATACTTACAGGCATAATTTGACATAAGTCGTCAATGGCAACACTGCAGATGCCTACTGGTGTATTTTGATCACTAGGAACGATGGGAGGGCTCAATAATTTCTTGTAACAGCAAGGAGGGAAACGAATATCCAAGGTGATGCTGTTATAAACAGCTAGTCCCATAAGCTATGCATACTAAATGTTAAGCATTAACATAAAATCCATGACAACAAATGAGTTTTGAATTATGCAACAATCTACTTTTTACATACTTCTTTCAGATTCAACACTGATGTTACAATTAGTCCCACATAGTTCCTTTCCTCTCTTTCACTTATTTTCCCTTTATTTTATGTAATATAACTCCTTGATTATCAAAAGTCATGTATAAAGGAGGTATTCAATTGATAGAATGTAGTGATTTCCCTGGAAAAGCTTATTTAAGATTATGATAGACAGCAACTTCAGACATTTCTTTAAATTATTTAACATTAAAGATTTTCTAAATTTAAATAAAGATGTTGGTGGTTTTATAAGTAGCAGCAAGAGTTTATTCAAGACTCACTGCAGAATGCACTACTGATTTTAGAAATGGTTATTTAGGCTATTTTAAAATTAAATACAAAACGTGAAGAAAAGAATAAGCATATGAATATATACACACTATTGATAAGTTAATAGGGCAAGTAGTCTTTTACAGTAAAATGTAAGAAGAAATTGTTATTTGAATTTATCAGTATCAAAATTAAAAAACTCAGATRTTATAAACTTTGCCTATTTGTATTTTAGCTATTAATTATGTGACAAAAGTAACTTACCCATTTGCTGAAAGAAGGGTCAAATTTCATAATATTTCAACTGYCAATTATTACATAAAGTTATTTTAGAAGTAATTCATTTGATAGACTCAAAAGGAAATTTAAACATAAGGCTGAATAAATTATTGAAAACAACTTAAATACTGAAAGACTGATAATATTTTAATGTGTTACGACAGAATGAAGGCTCATAATAACATAAGAAATAGCTATTCCATTTCATAAGTAACCATATAAATACAGACTGATTGGGGTGTTGAAGGAAACAGATATTGAAAATGTATTCTAATACATTTCTACAATTATAATAATAGCAACAATGAATGCCACAATACTATAGTTATTATTAACTACAATATTACAATTATTGATTGTAATAGTTATTATAATCTATTATGGTGATGAGTTCTAAGCATATTTTCATTTAAAATTTAAATATTAGGGCTGGGGTTGTAGCCTCAGTGGTAGGATACTTGCCTAGCACATTTGTGGCACTGGATGAGATCCTCAGCACCAAATAAAAATAAATAAATAAAATAATGTCCATCTACAAACTAAAAAAATATTTTAAAAATTTAAATATTATAATCCTTAGTGGTAGGATGAGGCAGGTGAGGAAGTGGGATTATAGCATTTACTACAGGGCACTCTCATATGCASACACAGCATAGCATTTCATTTCACACTCAATCAACCTGCTCTGGTTGAAGCAGGGAAGGAGATGGGGTAATTTTTTTGTTGGAACCTCTGAGATGTTATACAAATAGCAGAGTCTGGAAATGCTATACTATACTGTATTGCCTCCTCTCTTGATTCCAATGTCCTTTTTGATAATAGACAATTCTAGTTTTAAAACAATGATATATTATAACTTTCCATGTAATCTTCAAAGCATTTTACAATTATTATTGTAGGTTTTATTACAATATTAATTGTAAATTCCAAGGTCTTACCATATTTAAAAATAATTTTAAATTATTATTGTAAAAGAAACACAATACCAATAGAACAAAAAAATCTTTGGTTCTAAAATTTAAAAAACTAGAGATATAATAGAACCAAGTATTTTTTTTTGAATGGTCATGCCTATTACATCTGAATTTTCAGGTCTTCTCACCTTTGACAGATGATAGATTTCCTAACCACCGACAGGACCCTAACTCACTATCATCTAACATTTTTCTTATTTTCCTATAGTATCACACTTTTKGGGGCATCAGTCATGCTTTCTATATGTTTCTGTGTATGTGTGATAATACACATAATAAGAGTATAATTTTAGGTTTAATTGTGTAAACTGGAATATATGACATGTAAACACATTTAATATGCTCTTTTGGGTAATAACTAAATAAAAACTAATCTAATGCAAAAGAAGATTAGCAAATTCATGATTGTATCTATAAAGCACTATTTTAAAAGTGTAATAACTAAGTACTTTATTACAAGTATTAGAAAGCCAAAATATCACCCAAATTAAGTTGTAGTATAAGAATATAAAGTGTGACAATCACATATATCAGGAAATTTAAATTGGTCTTAGTGTAGTGAGAAGTACCAATGACTGGGGCCTCCAATGAAATTGAAACACATTCACCAAATAAGTACTGTAGGTAACAGAATAAAGCAGTCTAAGAATTGTTAAGCTTTCTTCTATATCGTGAAGCTTAACACTCTGGATGTTTAGACATGATAATATATACAAAATTTTTTTTCCAAAATTTTTTAGTATTTATTTAGTTTTTGGCAGACACAACATCTTTGTATGTGGTGCTGAGGATCGAACCCGGGCCGCACACATGCCAGGTGAGCGCGCTACCGCTTGAGCTACATTCCCAGCCCTGTACAAAATTTTTAATTAAGCTTACTATCTCAATGTGAGGTTTTTTTTCCCCTGCTACCTCTTCTTTCATTTGACCTTTAAATTTCCATATACATTCTCCAGGATTTATCCCAAGCATGCAAAAAAGACAAGACACTCAAAGTTCTCAATAAGATGTCTCTTAATTCTTTTTCCTTGCAGTATCTTTAGTAATTCCCATTGTACTCACTGTTCTGTAATAAGCCCAACATAATTCAACCTTTTTTTCTTGCCATCCTCTCAGCTTATTATAATGTTATACTCTCCCCAGTCTTCTGTAAACCAAATGTGATTGCTCCTTTTAAAATCTCTACCTTACCGGGAGGAATATACTCATTTTTTCCTTCTCAGAACTCCTTAGCACTTAATGTACATGGCCATTTGACTCTGAGGACAGTCTACCTTGCATTGGAGGTCATCTGTTCATTTAGATGGTAATCTTCTAAGGTAAAGAATCTCTCCTTTTTACCCTATAAATCTCTAGTGCTTGCTCATTTATTTACTCTTCCCTCCTTTCTTTCATAATTGTATTCTTTAGAATTTAAAAAGTTAATGTAGAAGGCATCTTACTTAGTCTCCCACCCTGTAGGAATGTCCTCCACAATATAACTTCTAGAGACCAGAGAATGAGATATGGATTTATAAAATTTTAAAAACACTACCAAATACTACCATATGCTTTATACATTCCTATTATATTCACTTTTTAAGGATTTCTCCCTTATATCTCAAGATTTGGGGTTTTACAGAACTAGATTTAATTACCACAATTTTAATTTATTAAACTGAGTGATATAAGCACAAAATGAAAGAACACAAAAGTATTATAAATGGAAAATACTTTAATTTTTAAAAATGTTTTAAATTTCTGATAATTTAGATTATATATAAAATATATAATAGCCCATTTTTATTTTGAGTAAGAGTTTTAGAAAAAAATCAATAGTTAGCCATTCTTTTCAATTAACTAAGTCTGATGCTATATAGCTGTGATATTACATGTAGTAAAGATGACAGAAAAATCTATTTATATATATCTGACAAGAATTCTTAATTTACTAAAAGAACACTTTTCAAAAATAAATAAAATCTTTCAAAATCTCTTGTCTATTAGCACCTCCTAGTGGAAAGTTTAAAGGATACAATTCCAACCAATCGGAATTCAGAATAGTTATCACATTTAAAGCTGCTAAACCAATGGCAGTGTGAGTCCTTGTGATATGTAAACATGCCTGAAAAAAGAAAACACAGTTCTGTTCACATGATTCCTTAAAACAATCGAAGTGGTTAAAATGTACATATTATTGATTAGAAGCAAATCATTTTAGCAATTTTCTTTTACATACCATCTTTCATCTAAAAACTCTATAGATTATTTAACAGACTATATATTTGCAAATCTTTGTGTGTGTGTGATGTGTGTGTGTGTGTGTGTGTGTGTGTGTATAAATAACAATATATGGAGAGGGCGTTTTACTGTTCATTGGTATCTTGAATTTAGAATAGAAATGGAATAAAAAGATAAACACTAAATTAAACAGATAAATTCATAAAAACTATAGTTTTAGAATTTTAATTATAAAGTATGATCAAAGTAAAATGAGGATTATCCAGAGATTTCAATTTATCTGTCATTTATTTCCCCACTACCAGAAATATCTTATTTATATATACCTGTATTATATAGAAAATACAGAAAACGATATATACATAATACAGAAAATATAGAAATAAAGAATAAGAAAACCACTAAAAACTCTCCCTTGAAAAAACACACTTGACAGACATTAAGGATTATAAGTGAGAAAAAGTTTCTTCTCAGCAAAAGAAACAATATATGAGGTGAATAGAGAGCCTACATCCTGGGAGCAAATTTTTACCCCTCACACATCAGAGAGAGCACTAATCTCTAAGGTATATAAAGAACTCAAAAAGCTAAGCACCAAAAACACAAAAACCCAATCAATAAATGGCCCAAGGGCCTGAACAGGCACTTCTCTGAAGAGGATATACAATCAATCAACAAATATTTGTTCAAGATTATATATTTTATYTTCATTGTCCAATATCCTATCTTCCATGTGGTCTACTCTGTTGGTGATGCTTTCATTTGAGCTTTTAATTTGGTTTATTGTTTCTTTCATTTCAAGGATTTCTGTTTGGGTTTTTTTTTAGAACCTCTACCTCCCTTTTGAGGTGATCTTTAGCTTCTTGGATTTGTTTATGTAGCTCCTTGTCAAAGTGATCTTTCACTGCTTATATTTGCTCTCTTATATCTTCCTTGAGTTCAAAGAATATTTTATATTATGTATATCCTGAACTCTTTCTCTGTAATTTTTTCTGCTATGGCTGCCAATGATTCTAAAGATGTGGTGTCTTGATTTGTTTGTGGTACTTTCTTCCCTTGTCTTCCCATGTTGCTCATGTGTTTTCCTTTCTAGTTCTGTGGGTCTGGGGTGTTATTATTTTACCCTATAAGTTTGTAGTTCTCTTGTAGGGTCCCAAGATCCCTCCTAGCCTCTTAAACAAATGGTGCTGGGAAAACTGGCAATCTATATGCAACAAAATGAAATTAAACACCTATCTCTCACCATGCACAAAACTCAACTCAAAGTGGATCAAGGACCTAGGAATTAAACCAGAGACTCTGTATCTAATAGAAGAAAAAAGTAGGCCCTAATCTTCATCATGTGGGATTAGGCCCCAACTTCCTTAATAAGACTCTTATAGTGCAAGAATTAAAACTAAGAATCAATAAATGAGATGGATTCAAACTAAAAAGTTTCTTCTCAGCAAAAGAAACAATCTGTGAGGTGAACAGAGAGCCTACATCCTGGGAGCAAATTTTTACCCCTCACACATCAGATAGAGCAATAATCTCTAGAGTATATAAAGAACTCAAAAAGCTAACCACCAAAAAAACCCAAATAACTCAATCAATAAATGGGCGAAGGACCTGAAGAGATACTTCTCCAAAGAGGATATACAATCAATCAACAAATATATGAAAAAATGTTCACATCTCTAGCAATTAGAAAAATGCAAATCAAAACTACTCTAAGATATCATCTCACTTCAGTCAGAATGGCAGCTATTATGAAGACAGACAATAAGTTTTGGTRAGGATGTGGGGAAAAAGGTACACTCATACATTGCTGGTGGAACAGCAAACTGGTACAGCCAATATGGAAAGCAGTATGGAGATTCCTTGGAAAACTGGGAATGGAACCACCATTTGGCCCAGCTGTCCCTTTCTTCGGTCTATACCCAAAAGACTTAAAAACAACATATTCCAGGGACATAGCCACATCAATGTTTTTAGCAGCACAATTAACAATAGTTAAACTGTGGAGCCAACCTAGATGCCCTTCAGTGAATGAATGGATAAAAAAAATGTGGCATATATACACAATGGAATTTTACTCAGCAATAAAAGAGAATAAAATCATGGCATTGCAGGTAAATGAATGGAGCTGGAGAAGATAATGCTAAGTGAAGTTAGCCAATCCCCCMAAAACAAATGCCAAATGTTTTCTCTGCTATAAGGAGTCTGAATCCTAGTCGGGTAGGGATGGGGAGCATGGGAGGAATAGAAGAACTCYAGACAGGGTAGAGGGTGTGAGGGGAAGGGAGAGGGCAGGGGGTTAGCAATGATGGTGGAATGTGATGGACATCATTATYCAAAGTATATGTATGAAGACATGAATTGGTGTGAACATACTTTATGTATAGAGATATGAAAAACTGTACTCTATATGTGTAATAAGAATTGTAATCATTCTACTATTACATATTTAAAAAATAAATTAAAAAAGGATTACAGGTGGTTTCTCTAAATAAAATTTAAATTTCACATGCTCATTTTTCCTAAAAAATTAATTCATGAATTCCTATTTCTTAAAATGACTCATTATTTAATGATTGGGACTTCAAATACTAGTATAGCAGAAACTACAGCTTTGTTTTTTAATTTTGAATGTTCTTTATTTCAATAAAAAATTAAATTTTCATGCATCTGGCTTATTTAGGAATGGTATGGATATTTCCTCACAAATGCATACTCTTAGTCTTGACACATTTGTGTAGGATACCCAGTAACATAACTAACGTTTCAATCACCAAGTTAGTCAATTTTTTAAATGTAAATTAAAGTTCTTAAATAATTATTCAAAATTTATGACTGACAAGTTTATAAAATATTGATTAAAAATAAGGGTTACTACTTGATGCTTTACAATTATGAAGAAACACTGTTTATAAAAATTAAATCCTTACCATAATCTGGATGAAAAATCTGCCGAATTAGAAGAAGGAACCACTCTTTAGTCAAGCCACCCATATCCAAACCAGCTTCCCCTACAAATGTAACTTTCAATTTCTTTTTCAAGTCCGCTCTTTTCCGGGTTAACTGTTTGAAGAAATTATACAGTAGAAGAAAACAAAGGTCAGTGAAAAGGGAATTAACTTTTTAAATTCTGGGAATCATGTWAGGCAGTCTTCATCACAAAACCCCACCCATCCATCCAACAAATCTGCTCAACCCTGTGTAAGCTAGGTGTTGTTCTTTTTTTTTGCAGAATAGAAAAATGAGTTAAGAGGTTAGGTGTTTTGCCCAAGGTTACTGCTTCCAAGTATCATAATATGTCTCCAAAATTTTAAGTTGGCAGGCTACAATATACAATAACTCATTTTGTCTTAACATTCCTTTAACATTAAACYTTTAAAAGTCATGTAGCTAAATCAGTCATTATCTTCTAATAGCTACATGAAGGTCTGGCTGAAATATACATGCAGGAAACTTTTATAATGTACACACAGGCAATCAATGTTTGTTTGAATCTGAATAGGCCCAATATTCCTTGAAAGGTCAGACCTGTAATTTCATACATGAGTAATCTGAGGCCCAGAAAAGTTAAAATGACTTGCTAATACTGAATCAGCAGCAAAGATGGGTGGGTCTAGAATTCAGATCACATACTAAGAAACATGAATTACTAATTTAAGTGTTCCACATTGAACACTTTTCTAGAGAAGTAACAAGGAAATATTAAATATTTTTTATGTAAAAATAAGTACATAAAAAAATCAATATAAGGTTAATAGAGAACTGATTTTAGGTACAGTATCAAAATTTAAGGAAGCACCATCAGTAGAAATAAAAAAAGTTTACCAAGATTTTGGTAATAAATAATACTGTAAAATTTACTTAAAGATTTAATCAATTAATACCATTTTGTAATAAATTATACCTCATCAAGCGAATCGCTAACCAGATGTGTCCGCCTTACTTTCATATTTAGAAATAACATATTCATATCAGGTCTCTGTCTTCGAGATACTTTATCCACCAGACTTTGCTAATTAAATAGGAAAGCAAACATTTTCACTTTTACTTAAAACTATAATTTCATTTAAAACATTTAAATACATTAGTCAAAATCACTTAATTCTTATCTATTCCACCTCTCAAACAATTCATGAAACCAGTTACACACATTTTGATTTGTGAAAATGCCTTATTATTACTTTATGTTGGAACAGTGATAATTAAAGGGGGCCCAAAATAGAGGATGAAAAACAATTTACCTCCTATAGTAAAGAATGTTACATTATAGTTTCCATATGTCTCATTTCTTAAATACCAAAGTTTTGTTTAATAAATATAAACATAAAATGGGAACATTTGAAATAATATATGCACTTCTGACTATACACCTGGATTTCTTAAACTTTTTCAGACATTAAATTTACTCTAAAAGCACAATTAGTCTACTTTTAAAAAGTAAGTGGTCAACATTTATTAAGACCTTAACAATTTTTATAACTTTGTTCTAATAATTCTACTTCTGAGAATTCTAAAGATAAAAATATTTTTTWAAAAATATTTTTATTAGTTATTGATGGACCTTTATTTATTTGTTTTATATGTGGTGCTGAGAATCGAACCCATTGCCTCACATGTGCTAGGCAAGTGCTCTACCACTGAGCCACAACCCCAGCTCCTAGAAAATATTTTATTTCATTAGATGTTCAACACAGTATTATCCTTAAGAGTAAAACTTTAGAAATATCCAAAGTATATATCTACTTGATAGACTATAATAATGCAGGTACTAAAAAATAATGGTCATAACAACTATATAAACAGTACAAGGAAGGCATATCTGAATAAAGTAGTAAATAAAACTATGTGTATAATACTATTTCAACCCTGTTGATTTTTAAAGATAATATAGGGAAAAATATCAAAATATAATTTATTAAAATGTTAACAATACTTATGCTTGAGTTATAGAGATATGGGTGATTTTAAAAATCCATTTTTAGGAGTTTTCAAAATATAAGCACTAAGTATATAAAAACTAACATATTAAAAATGTACACAAAGCTATATAAATGTTACTTATCATATAAAATCTACAAGCATATATATTTATCTACCAAAATAATATTTATCAGACTACTTCATATTCTTTGGTAACAATGAAAATCAATTTTTGTGCAGATTAAAGATGAACATTTCAAACACTTTAAGTTMATATGGTAATTTACTTTAATAAAATTGTAATACCCTAAATCTATATGATTTGAGGTTACTTATAGTTTTGTAGATTACCATAACAAGACCAACTAATTTAGAATCTTTTCCATTGCTCCAATATCCAATCCTAAAGGCTTAAAAGCTTTTTGCTTCTCTGGTTTCTCCCTTACCAAAGAGATCTATATTCCTGGGATAGCTGTGCTGTGGACCTTTTTCCAGGAAACTGTCCTATTCCTAGTTTAGCTACTTGGAAGCTATCACAATGAAAATACCTAATAAATAAATGTATTCTAGGATGGTAATAGCAGAAAACTACTACTTAGGAATAGTGGCTACTACTTAGGAATTTATATTTCCTAGAAAATGCTCCAAATGAAAGAAACCTAACAATGGTAGAATTCTAGATAATCTGAGTGATAAAGTTGTTTTTAGGGGAGCCCCCTTTGCAACTGTAGACTGTATCATATAGGCTCTTGCTCATACTGACTACCTGTAAGGCTATCCTTGTGTCAAAAATAGTTATCAGTCATTTAATTCCAAGTGGTATGGCAGTTTATAAGTTAAAATGTTGGGAAAAGTCTGTAACAGATAATGCCATCTGACTCTTCAGTCTCTATTCATTTGCTCTCATGCTCTGTGAAAGACAGTCTCTGACTATACCTGCCACTCTCCTTTTAAGAAGATATAAAATCCACAAAATGATATTTAAGATCTTAAATGTGAGTGACATAAAATGCTAGATATTTAGATAAACTTGTAGTTCTTTAGATTTTTCTTACAAAATAAAAATTAATAGCCCAAATTGATAAAGCATTAAAAAGCCCATGACATTGTACAAATGCAAAATGAGTGATACAGATTAATATTTGAGCCAGTATCTACCCAAGATCAAGTAACAATTCTGGTGCTAAATATACCTGTTTAAACTCAATCTTCAAGGGGACAATGTGACTTTGGAACTCCTTTGGAAGGCACAGGCAATAAACTTTTTTCTAATAGACCCATACTTGTTATAAGATGATTTTGGGAYATTACCAGTCACTGAAACCTTTTGTCCTCTTCTGTGATAGAAAAAAAATACTCACCTTCTGGGAATGAATTACTTAAGAATAAACAACTCGTTTACTTATAGTACTTTGAAATATTAYAATTTATGCCTTAGGATTTTTTTTATATTCTTGGACAAGACACAAAAATCATTTCTTTCTACTCTTCCTATTATAAGAAGACTTTAGTCAAGCTTCCCTTTAATTTTTAAAGTCATGAACAATCATGTTATGTAAGAAGCTTGAAATACACAAGCATATAAATGTATAGTCTAGAACTCTAATTAAAAATTCATTGTATCTGGTTTCTATTAGATAAAGTACATAATTTTACTATGCTGTGCTAACGAAAGCAGTAGAGAGTGATAAGGACAGGCCCAGAGATAAACTTCATCCAGCTTTACAATTTGCCTAACATCAGCCTGACTGTAATCCCAGCTTCTACAAGCATCCATGCATTCTGGTTTCCTAAGAACCAATAAAAAACCTTTTCGCCTATTTTGAGAATATTTCTCAGTTCTCCAAGATGTATGCTTCTTGTTATATTTACTAATTTTTTGGTGGTTTCTGATTTTCATAAAACCTTGAAAATGTTGCAATTTTTTTTTTTTTTTTTTAGTAATTTTTTTAAGGACGCTCCTTTCCTCTCTGTAGTTTTCACTTATGTTTTTCTGGTTACTTAGAGCAGGAGCTTTACAAGATTCAACAAACTTCCTGTAATTTGGATCTGTGAGAACATTTAATCTTCTGTTATATTTAAAATATAATGAGAAGTTGATTTGATGAGGGGTGTCTTGTCTCCCATGTGAACAGGTTTAAGTACTTTTGGAGGGACTAGGATATGAATTTTATTTTTAACATTTCCTGATTACACTAGAACAATTCACAAAACATTTGACTTATTTATTAAATTATTTACTGTATTGATTATAGTAAGCATAAATATTTTTTTATATCTGGCTTACCCTTGCGATGCTTATCATCTGTTGTTCTGAGTCTCTCTGAATAATGATTTTTTTTGCAGCTATAGAAATAACGAATGGGTACTGACAGAAGGAAAACCTGCTCAACAAGTGAAAACAGAAAAAGCAAAATGGTGTATTTTTAGCAAAATTACACTAAGGGAATCTAGGTACCCCTTCTAACAATATAAAACATTACTTTTGTATTGTGTTTTACCATTTACGAAATGATTTTATGTGCACCACAGCCCTGTGAAGAATGTATCATTACTAGATGAGCAGTGCCTTCATTCTCTAAAGGAAGCTACATCTAATTTTCTGAAATGTGTGCTAATCATGTACATTTATACAAATAACTTCAGTTTATACAGTCACCTATATATGATAATCTGAAAAACACAGCCAACACCAGAACCAGGAGGCCGAAGTGTTAATAAAGAAGGCTTAGGACAGAGACTCATATGTTCAAGTTAAGAATCCATTATTATAAGAAATATAACAATAACCATAGTATGCAAAAGCAAAGTAATAAATTTAAAACAAAATAAAAATTTGGAAAAGGAGTATGTTGCTAGTGGTACTGTATTTAATAGTGTAGTGATATGAAGTGGTACCTAATTGTAAAGGCATAACATTATCATCAAAATTTATGAAAATRATGTCTCTCTTGGGTCAGAGTCCTTAGGTACAAAAGCCACAGACTACACAGATAGAAATCCATTTAGAAAAAAATGGGTATGGCAGCAATGATACTTTAGGATTTAGATTCCTRTCAGAAGTGACTGCAATAAATCTATCAGTTATAGTTGGAAACCACCTGAGCAGAGTCAGGTACCATCTGAGCAGAGTCAAGTAGAGCATCATGATGTAATGAAGACATTATAAAGAAAAARGAGATAGGCCTCATGTGAACTGAAAATGAGATAGCTTTCACTCTGGGACAAAGCTGTTAATACACAGGAGGAACTGTTCAGAGGTAGTGCATTGCAATTTTGAATCACTAATGCCAACCAAAAATTTGGAAACAAAAGAAAATGCAATGAACTTAGCAGGATATGTGTTGGTTTTATTATGTACTTTAAAATACTGCTTCTTAACCTTTCCCTTGAAAAAAGATACCATGTGTATGAAACACCCAGAGAAACAGATGAGACTGCTCATGGTCAGAAGCAATTTGCCCTACCTAAGATTCTAGCTCCCTCTTCTCATGTTCAGGGTGTCATCAAGGGCTGATGGATCCTATGTAATTCATTCTCAATACACTGTGCTGTGGAAGCTTTGTATTAAAGATGTCACTGAAACATGCACAACTGTGGGAGTTGTTTTATGGTTATGATTGTATTAAAATGGGAGGGAAAAGTGTCTTTGCAAAATAAACTTTGCCAAGAAAACATCCATCAGACTGATCAGAATTCTCTAAACAATTTTTGTTCAGTCTTGAGTGTTCAGATGTGGACTGAGGCATCTCTGGAAGGCCATTTTGTGTTTTAGGTCMATTCTGATAGCTTGGAGGGCCCTGGAAAATTTAACCAATTTATGAACCAATATGGGGTTTTGAGTTTATTTATATCTAAACCATATATCTTACTCAGTAACTTTAAAATRTGACAACCTCCTGGATAGCTCATGGTTTGGGAATGTTTAGAATAGTCTTGTTGGTTTAATCCAAACTAGAACTATGAAGATAAAGTGTAGTATATTAAAAAATTTGGTCAAGTATTCCGAAAATCTACTACTGTAAGTAATTTGTGGTGAAGCCCTTTCTCTGTAATATCTATTTATTTTGTACTGTTTCTAGTGGATAGTCACTTTTCCTACAGAACGAAGGAGAAAAGGAGTGAATGCGTATGTTTATGTGTAAATCTTTATGTGATCAATGTATTAGATTAGGCACTGGCAAACCATGTTCCCCAGGACAAATATGGCCTACCATCTGTTTTTGTAAACAAAGCTATATGGAATACAAATGTACTCATTCATTTATATAATCATCTAAGGCTGTTTTTGTGCTAAAATAACAAAACAATCTGTATAGCTCACAGAACTGAAGATATTTACCATTTAGTCCTTTACAGAAAAAATTTATTGATCTCTTTGCTAGATGATAGCATATAGAACAATAAGATATAAGAAACTTTTTACTAGGATAGAACCTTTCCCTTCTTGAAAAGATGCCATCAACCAAACWACAACCAAATCAACATATATATAAAATCAAAATATAGCAGAAAAGGAAAATGTTTTAACAAATACAATGATATTTCAAGTCTGGATATCTAGATTATAGAGGTTTATATGTAAAGGTATGATGTGTATATATCTATAACTATATAMCTATATATAGATATAGATATTTTATTTATACAAACCTAAAATCCAATCATTATTTTGAATAGTATTTCATTTAAGTGAATAATTAAATGGTACCTGTGAGAGTTTCCAAAGCTCTGCCAAGTATGATATTCTTCCATGAGATCAATGTGATCCAATGTAGAATTATAGAAATCAGTATAAGGAATAAGGGGAGGGTCAACCAAATTGTTTGCAGTATCTGTAAAGATAAATTCTAACATAATGATCTTTTCCAACATGCACATAATTTCCTTTTAATAATAAAAACACCATTTTAATGTCCAGTGGCTTTCCTTGACCTAAAAGCTGCTGTTTTAAACAACTGAAGTTCCAAATGAAAAAGATAATTTTAACATTGTGGTCAAAGTACAGTTAACCATTTCTGACTTTAAAAAAAAACTTGCTATGTGGATCATAAAAGTACTAAGAAGAGCATGCAGATGGCCATTTATTCATATATTGCTGTATTAGTGAATTCTTCCTAAGGGTCATCAGTAACTAAAGTTCATGTTTTCTTGGGAATCACACTTAGCAGATCATTTATATGCAATTAACTATATGCACTTAATACCATAATATAGAATATTGCTCAGTAAAAGGTATAAAGCTTTTTTCATGCTTGTAAATTAGTTGTGAAATCCATTATCAAAACAAAATATATTTTTTTCCTTCAAAGGAATGGTTTAAAATTTAAYGTTGATTCTACAGTACTTTGAGATCCTTAAGAATGTCCCTGAGATTTAACAAAAGCAAAGAAAATGATAGAATAATAAAAACGTACTAAGTAAAGCCAACACTTTAGATGCTGATGGAATCCACCAGGAACATTTTGCTATAGGGGGAAATTCTTCAGGCTTTGCAGGAAACAGGCGTAAAGAAATAAATTGCAGCAATCTCTCTACCAATTGTTTGAACCTCTTCTGGGATAATCTGGTAAAGATTTTGAAATAATTCTAATCAAAATTCACATTTTAAATTTTGGCAATATATTTATAAGATATCAAACTATATCCTACACACATAAAATTTTAGACTAGTCTCCCAAATTCTATCTCTTAAGTTGCCAAATATTTGAAAAGATATAAAATCTTACCTTGTATACTGTTTCTTAATTAAGAAATAAATACCAAAATTATTATAAGGTTAATAATTAAATTTTTAAGACTTTGAATATTTGCTCAATCTTCATTATTCACAGAATTTATACATGCAAATTTGCCTTCTTGCTAATATTTAATTGCAACCCCAAAATCAATACTTGTGCTTTTGTGAACATGCAAGAAATGGTGAAAATTTTTAGTTGACATGCACATTCCCAGCTGAGGTGAAATAAAGTTATACTCTGTTTTCTTATTTTAGCTCTCAGAGTGTAAACAAATGTCCTCTACATGTTTTTCATATTTTTGTGTGTTTTTGGTGAGGATGCTATTTCAAATGGCCCTTAAGCATAGTGACGAATTGCTATCCAGTGTTCTTATGAACAAGAAGGATGTGATGTGCCTTATGGAGAAAATATGTATTAGACAAGTTTCAAACAGGCACAATCATACTGCTGGCCATGAGTTCAATGTTAATGAATCAACAATTTAAGTGTCTTTAAAGTAGAACATTCATAAAGCAAAGTTGTGCACTGACTGATTGACAAAAATATAATTAGAAAGTCCCAGGAACCTAACCCTGTATTTTCCTAAGAAGCATTGTCTCAGTCAGTATTTTTTAATTCAGTGTTTATGATGACTTTGTAGAATATTGTGAATAATAAGAACTGACTTAATAATAAGAACTGGAAATATTTTGCCTTTTAAGCTTTGACCTACCATAGAGAAAAGTCTTTGTTAATATAGATACAGATCTGTGAAAAAAGAGTATAGTGCTTTTACAACTTGATATTGATGGCTAACCTATACATCAATAATGCTGTTTTTAGCTGAGGAGGAAGCACCATTTAAATAATGATGAAATTTTTTATAAATCAATCATATAGGAAATAAAAAGAACATACATTAAAATGTAAGATCTGAGCAAACCCAGTCACCATCTTTGAGATACATGAAAAACCAATGATATGAATGTGCTATATAAAAATTGAAAACAGTGGATGGAAATTCTCAACAGCTTACACAAGCAAAATGGTTAGTTACACTAAAAACACTTATGCTTATCACTTTTGTAGTACTATATATATTTTATAATTGACTTTTTAGCATTATTAATTATAAAAGCATAATTTCTAAAGACCTAAAGCCATTCAAATATATTTTATTACAAAATTATTACTATCAAATTTAAAACTGTGAGATTACAAAAGTTCTCAATATTATAGAATGATTTACTTTTTAAACCAGTGAACTAGAAAATGATGGTCAGCTTCCACTAAGGTAGCTGTCTGTCGTAGCAAGTGAGCATAGATGACATACGTAGATGTGTTATTAAATTGAGGATTCTGAAAAAGATAGTAAAAATAATTGTATTAAAATTTTGTTAAGTCAAAGGAAACACACTAAATGAGTTAAGTGAAAAATTCAGGAAACTAAATTTGAGATTATAAAATAGTTTAAAACAATAATATATCTGTTATTTAATTATAAATAGAGATTGATTTAGGCTGTGATACAGTGAAAACAGCATGAACTGTGGAGTTAAGACAGATCCAAGTCTGAGGCCAATTCTACTACTTACTAACAGTTTACCTTTAGGCATATTCCTTAAACTTTGTCAATTTCCTCATCTTTAAAATGGGAGTAATTGTATCTATCTTAAGAGTTGTTGTATTTAAAAAGGAAAGTATATATAAAACATCTAGCTCAATGCCTTCATGAAAGTTGGCAATCACTATTACCCAATTAAACAAAATATTCAGCTTTTCTTTGATTTTAAAAATGCTAAAAAAGTGAAAAGCTAGTTGGGAAATTTTTGCCACTGTGAGAGTCAGCTGCATATCTCACAAAGAATAAGAGGAGAATCTCATAATTGCATCTAACAACTTTTAAATGTGAAAGGGAGACTGAAGGAGWGCTAAGCAAAACCTCCACTTATGTCCTCAAAATGTAAAACTTTACCACAGTGCACATTTCATCATTTCATGTGAAAAGTGAACATAATGGAAAAATGAACTGAAATTGTGAAAAACAAGAAAGTATCATGTGTTTTTCAAAACTGATTTACTGGCAGGACAATTCAAAATTAGGRAATGACCCTACTTGATAACTTCATGTAGTGATGGCTCCAGAGAAGAACATCATGAACAGAGCTTATTGCACTCTCTTCTTAACTACCTCTTAGCCATTTTTTCTCCCTTTCCACTTTCTCTTTTTTGCTCTGTCTCCCTTTCTCTTTTTTTCCTTTTATTGGGCATAATATTGATTTTATAGCACTGCATTATTGAAATAAGCACTATATCTTATTTAATGTATTTTTACCTTTAAACAAATTAATATACATGAACAATTTTTATGAACTGTAAAGAATAAAATGAGTGTAGTACGCTGCTAAGATAACATCTTAGAGCTCATTAAAGTTAATTGGAAGAAAGATGATTTGAAAGGAGAAGGAAGAAGCACTGCCATTGTACTGCCCGAATACTATGGCAGCTAAGGCGAGAACTTTATTAAAATTTTAATCCTCCATAATTTAGCTTCTGAATGTTTGTTTGTTACAGCATTGGTTACAAGTCATTATAACTCTAAAAAGTATTAATAACATTGACCAAAATGATACTTACCATTTGATATAATTTCACTTACATATGTACATATTGAGATCTGAATTAGACAATTTTCACTAAATTCCTTCTCTCTTACCTGTAAAAGGATGAAATATGCTCTAAGATCATCTTTTGTTCGTGGGCTGAAACAGAAACAAACATAATTGATTATAATGAATGTTTTAATCTCATGGTATCTAACTAAAAGTGACCAATAAATATTCCTGTAAGAATTGAGAAAAGCAAAAAACAAAACAAAACAAAAACCTTAAGTGAACATAACATTATTATTACTGACAGGAACATATCTCTAATATGCTGGAATATAAATTACTCTATGTCTATCCTAGGCTGGTTCTGAAGATATCTAAAGACTAAGTTAACTAAGACAGCAATAATATTTTGTAAGATTAAAAAATCATGACTGAGCTGGGGATGTGGCTCAAGCGGTAGCGCGCTAGCCTGGCACGCGTGCGACCCAGGTTCGATCCTCAGCACCACATACAAACAAAGATGTTGTGTCTGCCAAAAACTAAAAAATAAATATTAAAAAAATTCTCTCTCTCTCTCTCTTTAAAAAAAATAAAAAAAATTAAAAATCATGACTATCTCTGGAAATAGTTAAGTATCTAATAATAATCTTTAATTTTACATTCTTGTGTTTTTGTTTTAATAAGGGATAATCTTTACTTATTAGTTATTCATTAAAGAATATATGTCTGTGTTTATAGGTTCATTTCTGAAGTGACAGAAATGTCTGCAAATCAAATCATACTCTGAATGCACCTAGAATATTTTAATCAAAAGAATCGTATTTTGGATATCTCTGAAAAGAGAGTAATTTAAATTGTTTTTCCATGTTAATCTGAATTTTCACAGCATCAGATTTCACTGACAACTTTTGTTTTTCCATAAGCTAGTGTTACTCAATTGCTCAAGACATATTTGATACTCACACAGATAACCAGAAGTAACTTTCTGAATTAAATATATTTAACCTATATGACAACCAGATGCAATTCAAGATCCTTCATGGGATCCTGGATGAAAAAACTCAGATACTAAAGCATTTGTTATTCTCAAGGTTAATGAGTGCTTCTTTCTCATCCACTCAATCTATTTCTAATCTATCACCTTTAATTCCAAGTCATTGCCTGGTCTACCTACGACTTTATATGTCTGGCAATGTCATTCATACCTACATGAATTATCAGGCACATACAACAAGTAGTATGAGTAGGTTTGATTCCTTACAATGTTTTTGATATTTTTATTAAAATACTCAAAATAGCTGGCTCCCAGTTTAGCCTCATTTTTTCAGTCCTGAGATAGTTAACTGAGAAGTAACAAGAATTTCTTCTTTCTGAGGCCAGCAACTGATTTTCTCAAGTTTTCTCTGGCTATCAGGAAGCCCAAGGTTAAATATAATGTGCATATTATTTCACTTAGGTTACTGAGTAGTACCCATCCATTGTTTGCAAACTAAATATATCTGTACACAAAATTTTATAYGCAATTTTAAAAGAATCACAGATTTTCTTCATTCCTGTCTATGTACAGATCCTCCTGAGACTTCATATATCTTATGTCAGTTTTGTTGAAAATGGCTTTTAATTCCTTTCTCATCCATGTTATAATCATAACTCAAAAGTATTTCCTGAGAGTGAAATACATTCACATAAACTATATAAGATGTGTAAATTAATCATCTATTCTTATTAAATATTAGTTATAATTACCCTTTCCATTCTCGTAATAGGCTGTTAATGATTCCCTTTAATACTGTCTTCTGAATATCTTGAGGCTGTAGGCAAAAGAAAATTATAAGGCATAGTAATTAGTATTAGCTATTTAGGTGACTTTTATATGTTAATTTTATTTACAGATATGTTTCAATAACTAAATTCAGAATTGATGACTGAGGACGAAAAGGTAGATTCATTTTGCATGTAAAAATTCTAGGGAGCACCAATGACATAAAATTACAATGAGATGTATAATGTATATACATTTGATGTATAATGTAAATCTGCACAAATATATATGGTGGTCCTTTGATGATCAATAATATGTATGTAGAACTATTGTTCTACATAACTGAAAAACAATTTCACTTTCCCTGACTTTTAACCTTAAAATCACGAACACAAGCCCAACAGTAGTGAGTCTGCCAATTTAAAATAATTGTATACATTTCAAATATATTTAGTCCTAACCAGTTACAATTAATAGTTAAACTCACAATTCATTAAGTGCAACCAAATTATGTTTAATTAAAAATGTAAGCTAATTTTTTTCATTATTGATTCCTTGCAATATAATTGTAAAAAGTATAACATTTCTTTATAATTTAGTGGTTCAAATCATTTTTAAAAATCTTATTTACAAGCCTCTTAATTAAGAATGAAAATGAAATACATCTAGATGGTACTTCAGTTTATAATAAATAATAAAATAAAAAATTAACTAAAAGCTTCAAATAATCAGAAAAAAATATATTTGTGAGTTATGTTATTATATGAAAAAGGCAAAAAAGCACCCATGAGCACTTATTATGGATTTATTTAAAAACCACAACCATGACTTCTAAGACACATTTGTCAACATTCACCTGGTCTCTTACTCTGTGTGTATTTGTGTGTTTAAAGTATCATTCCTTTCTTTTCCTCTGCTAACAGTGATACTTCATACCCAGAAGGCAAACACTACTCCTGCTCAACCACTTATTTAGTGTCTGCCTGAGCAATAGAAGGTTGTAGAATAAAGATCAAACAAATGTCTTGATTGYACAAAGTTTATGATCATGAATCTAAAAAAGACACTCAATACTACTAACATTCATACATTTCCCTAGTTCATTTACCTCCCTATTCACCAAGAGAACTATATTTCAAACCTGCTACTGAGCGTGTGTGTGTGTGTGTGTGTATGTGTGTGTGTGTATTTGTATGTTTTTTTATTTGTTTGTTTTTCGTCTTTCAAGATGCTGACATTTTAAGAGTTTATGTCATTTGTTTTGCTGACTATCTCCAAACTTGGGATTTTTCTGTTATTTTTAGCATGAGTACATTTTTGGCAAGACGACTTATAAATGTTGTATCTAAGTGTATCACATAGGGAAGCACTTGATGCCAATTGTCAGTTTGGTGATTTAATTAACTGGTTAAGATAATAACTGAATAAATTCTTACTAAAATCTTAGTTTTTAAACTTTATTATCATTTTTACATTTATTATTTCACATTTATTTCCTTTATTCTACATTTATCTATCTACATCATCTATCTATCATTTATTATCAGTATAGACTCAAAGATTCTTATTTCACCCAGTGGTTTAATTCATTATTATAATTTTAATAGCAAATTGTCTCAGATTTGGCCTTTGGGGGCAAGCTGGCTCTGTGACATGCTCACATTATTTTCTTTATTTGTAATAGAATTTTTTTTTAAAGAGAGAGTGAGAGAGGAGAGAGAGAGAGAGAGAGAGAGAGAGAGAGAGAGAGACAATGAAAATGAGTTATTACAATTTATGTAAGTGACACATCCCAATGAACCATAGCAAATTAGTATTCGTAAACATTATGTTTTGTTCATGTAGTTTGGAGAAAAATGTAGCTAAAATAATATTCCATATTAATGAAACTAAGATAATTATATGTTATTCATTTATTTCAGTTGTTCAATTTTCTTTAATATACAGTATAACTTTTTTTTAAAAAAATACTAAAGTCCATGTTAATGTGGAATTTTCCACAAGAATTTAAGAACACACTTGAAGGTATTCTAAATGTTTATCTAAAACGAGCAAAGTTATTTTTGTTTCTCTATGTCAAATTATTAAATATAATTTTATGGACATGTTCCAAAAATGGAAACAAAATATTTCATTACAAATATAACTTAACAAATATGTCATCTGGATAATATTATGTCTGAGTTTCTAACAGACATTTTTTAAAGAAAAACACAGATAGAGTCATTTAGTGATTATTAGTGGCAGTGCAGAAAAGTTCATGTATTTTGATTGATAATCATTCTTCAACTCCTTGAATACTAAGTAAGGGATCAAATTACCTTTTCTCAGCATTTATGATAATATCCATTAGGTAACAGCAGCATATGTCTCCTTCAGAAATATGGAAAACTGCCAGTGCTTTGAGAAACAACATTCTAGTTTTATACTGACAAGGACNTTTTTTTTTTTTAAGAGCAGTCTTAGTTTTACAGAAAAGTTGTGCAGAAAGTAGTTATCATACATACCCTCCCCAATCCTTTACATAGTTCTTAGTATTAGTGCATTAGTGTGGAACATTTGTAATAATTAATGAACCAATATTTAATACATTATTATTAACTAAGATCAATAGTTTACATGTGGGTTCACTTTTTGTAGTGATTATTCTATGGATTTTGACAAATGCCTAATGTCATGTTATCTGGCATTATAGTACCATATAGAATAGTTTTACCACTCATCCCTCCTTTCCTCTTTCTGCATCAAACTCCTGTCTCTTCCATTGGAATCATTTAGTGTGTAGTAAAGACCAGCTTCTTTCATTTAGCAATATGTATTTAAGGTTTCCATGTGTCTTTTTGCAGCTTGGTGGCTTATTTTTTATACTGTTGAACAGTATTTCATAATATAAATGTACCACAATGTGCTTATCCACTTACCCACCTGACATTTTGGTTGCTTCTAAATTTGACAATTATGAATAAAGCTGSTATGAACATTTGCATGTAGTTTTTTTGGTGAACATAAGTTCTCAACTCTAAATACCTAGAAGCACAACTGCTGGATCATATGGTAAGTTTATGTTTACCTTTGTAAAAAAAAATGCAAACATTATTAAAATTAGTGGGATATAGCAAAGAGTTCTCAGAAGGCAAGGTATAGACTGGACATATTAGAAGAAAAGTAAGATCTAAAACTAAAAAGAACAAAATAAATTCAAAGTAAATAGAAGAAAAGACATATTAAAAGCAGAAATCAATCAAATTGAAAATGGAACTATAAGGGAAAATCAAAATTCAAAATGCAGCAAAATCAAATATTTAGATGTTTATTTAAAAAGACTTCAGTAATAGGGAATGAAGGGAAGGGAGGGGGGATAGGCAAAGACAAGGCAGTGGAATGAATCTGACACAATTCTCCATGTACATATATGAAAACAACATAGTGAATTCCACTATCATGTACATCCATAAGAATGGGACTCTTAACTAGAACAAGATATATTCCATGTTTGTATAATTGCGTCAAAATGGATTTTGCTGTCATATGTAACTAAAAAGAACCAATAAATTAAAAAACAAACAAAAAAATTTAGATCCCCCCCGTTCCCCCCCAAAAAGACCTCAGTAAAATTGATAAACTTCTGGCCAAACAAATCAAGAAAGGAAGAGAGAACACCTTAATTACTTTTAACTGAAATGAAAAAAAAAGGATCATTATTTCTGATCACAAGAACTTTAAAAGGATAATAAAAGACTATTATGAGTAAGTCCATGCCTATAAATTTGAAAACCTAGATGTGTTCTTGAAAGACACATAAACCAGAATTCACACCAGGAGAAACCAACCATCTGAATAGGCCCGTACCTAGTAGGCCTAACAGAATGAATAAYTGACAAACTTCAAAAACAGAAAGCACCAGGCCCATATGGTTTTATTGGTAAATTCTACCAAACATTTAAGGAAGAGATGATATCAATTCTTCACAATTTCTCCCCAAAAATAGCAGCAGAGAGGATATTTCCTGATTCTATGAGGACAGTAATACTCTAATACTTACATCAGAGAAAGATATCACAAAAAAGAAAAATTATGGGCCATCTCTCATGAACATAGATGCAAAACACTTTGCAAAATATTAGCAAACTGAATCAAAATTGTATAAAAAGAAGAATTATTCACCACTACCACGCAGTATTTATTCCAGGGATGCAGGGCAGGTTTAAAACTTAAGAATCAATTTATTTAATTCATTTTATGAACAAACTGAAGAAAAAAACGTATGATTACAACCATACAAATGAATTACTTTACAAAAATCCAACACTCATTCATGATAAAACTATCAGCAAATTAGGAATAAAGATTTTTCTCAATTTGATAAGTAGAATCTATAAGAAACCTACAGCTAACATCATAATTAATGGTGAGAAACCAGATGCTATAGGTTCATCTGTGCTTTCTTGCATTAGTCATGAAATTAGCTATTTCTCTAGTGAACTCTAATTCCTTTCAGTGGGAATGGTATTGACATGTAAAGATATATATGCTTAAGTGCTCACTGCTAGTGGGGTGTTACTGTTCCTAGGCCTTTTCAGTACATAGGGCTATTAAATTTTAATATATTTAAATGTGTGTGTGTGTGCATTTAAATCTACTAAAAACCACAAGGTCATCATGATATCTCCAATTTCAATTCAACAACCATAGTTATTTTTAGCATTCTTCCATGCCAGATTTCCACATTTGTATCTCCCTTCTCTAAAAGTGAGAAACACAACAGTCAGCATCTTAAATATGTTTACTTATTTGTTTAGTTCAATAATACACAAAAAGTTAACCCATACCAGTGAGGAAACAAACAAACAAATGAACAAGAAAAGCTGAAGATTAGTTTACAATTTTGAGCTTTTTTGGTGTCTTTAAATTTAAGATCTATAGTTTAAAGTACTGTGGTTAAAAGTTATCTTGCTGAGTTTTTAAAAAATATATGGTATAGTATTCAAAGTATAGTTAGGTTTACTTATTTGAAATATATTTTTAAATTTTTGTTTATATCTCATATTAGAAGGCTTCCCCCCAATGTCTATATATTTGTTTTTTTTTAGTGTACAGAAAACATTAATATCATTCCAAGTCAAAATATGTCATAGAAGTGTACACAGGGGTAGAACTACTGGGTCACAGTGCATGCATATGTTTAGTGATTATATATAATACCAAGTAGTTTTTCAAAAGTGATTGTACCAATTTATATTCACCTCATCAGGATATAAAAATTCTAATTTTTACATAATATTGCTAATACTTGATAAAGGTTTTGCAAAATTTTTATTGAATTTGATGAATATGTAAAGTTATTCTACTTCTTTGGTGACAAAGAATGTTAAGTACACATTTCTTTTTTTTATTTTTTATTTTTTTTTTAAGTACACATTTCATATATTTAACAATGAAGTACTCAGATTGGGAGTAGACAAAGAAGTCTGCTATTAATTCTTTTATAAGGGATTAGACAAGAGATATTAATCAGTGCAATAAGGCAAATATGTACAACATCCATTCAAGATATAAGAACTGAAAAGACATAAAAATTTGTATTTCTCCACAAATGATATGATTGTGTACATAGAAAAATCAAAGTAAATTTACTGATGCACTATTAGAATTAATGAGTGAATTTAGCAAGGTAACCAGATAAACACATAAAAGTATTGCCATATATTAGTTACAGCTAAAAATTGAAAGTATAGTAGCATCAAAAAATCAAGTACCTAGAAATAAACGTAACAAGAAATGTGTAAATCTCTACCCAGAAGAAAATTCAAAACTCATGTAAAAGTATTTATTTAGAGAGTAATTGAACGTAACTGGAGGGATGTATCATGCTGATGGACTGGAAGGATATAAATTTTTCACATACTACAGCTTTGGGATTCTCAAAATGTCATCCCTGGATCAGGAGTACCAATATACCCTAGGAACCTGTTACAAATGAAAATTCTTGTGTTCTATCCAGGACCTACAGAGTCTGAAACTCTGTATTATAGAAAGCACTTTTATGACTGATACATGCATGCTAAAGTTTGAGAAACACTGATCTAACAGTACAATTTCAATACAATCAAATAACTTACTTACCTTCTTTTCCTGAATCAGTGAAGCATGCTATTCACAAGCCTTTCTAAACAAAGACTGYATGTAAAAGTATTTTATTTAGTTCTTAGTTAATTAGAAAAATAAGAGAATAAAATAACCTAAAATTTCTGAGAATTCCAAGTATATTTACTATAAAATTATATCAGAGTTTCTATGTAATCATTCTACAAGATGATTTTTCCAATGTTTATGTGGCTTTACTTKAACTACAGAAGAGACATAGAATTATATTATTTAAATGTTCCCATAAATAATACTCACAGTATTAAGTAAAGCATCATATACAGCATTCACAAATTTAGCATTAATCCCAGAGTCTTCAATGGTATTAAATGAGGCAGCGGCATCTTTCTGCAAATTCAATTAAAGAATTAAGTTTATATAACACATTAAGAACCGCTCTTGGTAATATTTGCACCATACTTTTCCTTGAAGTTTTCTATTTTGTGGTCTGATGATAAAAAGGAACTATTAGGGCAAAATTGCTGAAAATAAAAAAACAAATACCTAAGAACTGTTTCAATAATTTTCTTTTTTTGAAAATCAAAGAACTGGGTCAAACTCTAACACTAGTACAAATAAAAATGTAATACATATAATTTAAAAATCAATACATATATATGTTTGCTATAAAGTTGTTTAAATCAATATTGGGTAGAAAATGAGGTAATTCTGCCATATCTTTTTGGGAAAATTCAAAATTAATAGTGAATTAAAAATGTGTTGTATGTATTATTACCTTAAATATAGCATTTAATCCAGGAAAAGAATCAAATGTTGTGAGATAAAAATCATGTACTGTTTTCCAATCTCCTGATGGCTTAGCTTTTTCCACATCTTCCCTAAAATGAAAACACATATTAATCATACATAGATAGAAATATTATTCAGATAGTCACAGCATTCCTTTTTACAAATGTATGTCACCAAACATGCAATTTAAAATACTGAAATAGAATTTAAAAATCTATTCCAGTTAGTTAACATAGTTTGTTAAGTTTCGAATTCATCTAATTTAAAAAAAACAGTTTATTCTTGACATGACCCTTTAATTAGTTACTCTCTTTCCTCTCCTTCATAATAAAACTTATGGAGGTTTTGTTTACACTCTGTGTCTCTGCTTTCTCCTTCCCATCAAGCTTTTCAAATTATGCATTTTGGTTTTCTGAATAGTGACATATTTTATAACACTTTGCATAGTAGCTGAATTATTTTTTTTAAATGATAACATTTTATTAGTTTATCATCACATTTATTTATTTATTTTGCCTATTTTGACTCCTATTCTCTTTCTTAAGTGTTTCCTTTCTTTTGCTATAACGTATTTAACCGTAACCTGTTATCCTGTTATTCATACATTGGTTTTCACCTTCCACTTGAGACATCTAGTCTTCTGTGTCTTCTTTCTTGGCTAATAGCTCATAATGATGCACAAGTTCAACTAATTTTTCACACAAAGAAGTTAAATAAAGTCCTGACATGCAGATGACAATACGTCTATATGTAAGAGTGAATTAAAACTTACTGAAAGTCTTTCATAGTTTTGGGCTGGGTAGGAAGGATAGGTTCTGTAAGGACTGGGGCCTTCATTTCAGATGGTAATGTATCTATAGGGATACGCTGCTTTTGTCTAACATCAAGGCAAATTGGTGGTAGGTCTCTCACTGTGAAGYATAAGAAAGCATTCAATATTATTAGTTACAAAATCTTTCCATTAAAAAATCGCAGGCTAATTCAACATGAACAGAAAGCAAACTATTTTGTATTGTATTCATTCTGGGATAATGTAACAGAAAAACCTATCAAAGTGAAGTATACTTATTAAGTGAAGTGTACATGGGCTTATCCCCACCCTCTTTCACAATAGCTATGAGGCCATACCTTACTTTGAGGTATGTATTTAATATAAAGCTTTTCCCTTTCTCCTTCCTCACCTAAAAGTTGTCTTTTAAGGAATACATTAGTGAGGCTCAACATTTAATGTTTATAGGCTTTTTAATATATGTCCTCTGCAATTCTTTGTTGGAGCATTAGCATTTTCTTATCAATTAGCATGACATTATTAAACATTTTTTGGAAATATTTGRCAATGTGCTGTTTGCCCTTTCCTTACATTTCATAACCTATTAATTGTAAAATAAAACAAATACAGAGGAAAAAAATCTCAATAACAAATGTATGGCTTAATGAGGAATTATAAGGCATGCTAGAAAAGTGCTCCTTGCAGAACCACTGAGCTAAATCATTCCCAGCTGTTTTTCTATACCTTTTGGTTTATTTCTAATTAAAAAAAAATATTTCTCATTCTTTCTTTTAATCTCCCCCCTTATCTCTTAATTTTTTAAAATTCTGATTTATGTTATTCTTTCAAGTGTTATATCATATTCTTAATGTATTTTGGTGGATTTTGAAATAGGATTTTTCTTCCATTTTTGTGGCATGTATTTCTGTGTGCTTTTACTGTCTGAATGGCTGTTAACTTAGTTCCTTATTCTCTTTATCATAATAAAATTTTGTAATTCAAAATTATATAATTTGACCATGATCCTTTTATTAATTTTTATTTGTAAACATTATTTCCAAACTTTAAGAACCAGGTTTACCTTTTTTTTWAAATATAGAATTCAAATATATAATGGCTTTGCTTTCTGAGATTTCCATACCCTATGTCCCTCCTTCCACTTTCCTTGTGCTGCTCAAAATTTATTCTAAGCTCTGTATGGGACCCTAACTGGAAGAAAGCACTAGTTAGTCTGGAGAATTATCAAGGGTTTCACTGCTTCCTTTAGACCTCAGCATGAGACTTCTGCATTCTCCTGCTCTTGACAAAATGATGTCTGATTTCAGCCTTTGTTCTCAAATCATTCTCCTGAATTTCCCAGTGGATGTCTTTCATTTATTCTAAAGCTTTCCTGTTTTAAGGTCCACCAAAACACAGCCCTTGTGCTTTCTTCTGATGCCTCCTGCCCAGATGATAACACATGGAAAACTTAAGAGTTTTGGTGATTGTCCTTCTTATCTTTTAGGGTGTATGTGGACATATTATCAGCTAATTTTGATGTAAATGATGCCTATGATTTTAAATGAAGCAACCCAACACAGGAAGTTATTTATTTCATGAATTTTCCTTCCTTTATTTCATATTGAAAACATTAAAGGCTATGATTTAAGTATAGCTTTATTCCATAAATTATGAGGCAGCATTCTTACAGCTGTTATTTCTGAAAACTTCAGGTTTAACTTATTTAACCTTAGATTAAGAATCTATTAAAACATTTTAAAACTATCCTCAAATTTATTTTATTAATTCTAGTTTCTTGGCATTTCAATTGAGAAAATAAACCACAAACTATTCTATTTTGTGAAATTTTGTTTTTAAAACTCTTCTATTTGAAAGTTACAAAATWAGCCTCAGAAAATCATCATAATTAATGAGAAAATATTATAATCATTCCCTTTTAAATAAGACAAAGAAAATAAATAAATAATGCTAGGCCTGATGGCACACACCTTTAATCCTAGCAACTCAGGAGGGTAGCAAGTTAAAGGCCAGCCTCAGCAATTTAACAAGACCCTATCTCGAAATAAAAAATAAAAAGGACTTGGGATGTCCCTGGGTTCAATCTCCAGTATTAAAAAAAGAAAAAGAAAAGAAAAAGCATACAATCAGCACTTTCATTCAATACTGCTCAGGAGATCCCAGTTTGCACATAAAATATATATTAGAGACACAGGATTAGAAAAGAGGAAATAACGCTGTCACTTGCAAATGATCTGTTATAGACAGGCAAATCCAAAAGAATCTACAGACACATAATTTGAAGTAGCAAAGTAGGGAGATTTAAAAAAAATCTGCAAAATCAATTGCACTTCTAAATACCACAACAAACAAGTAGAAAGCATAATTTAAAAGAAAAATGTAAATTCAGGGGCATAATTCTGAGCTCTTTGTACTAAGTACTAATGAATGGAATATTACTCAGCCATAAAGAAYGACATATGGCATTTGTCAGTAAATGGACAGAACTAGAGACTATYATGCTAAGTGAAATAAGCCAGTTCCAAAAAGTCAAAGGTTGAATGTTCTCTCTGATTTGTGGAAGCTGAYCCAAAATAAGGGATGAGGGGTAAAATAAATAAAGAGAGAAAGGAAAAAAGGGGAGAGGAATTTCATCTAAATAGATGAAAGATCAGTATAGTAGATGAAGGGAATTGAGGAGGAAGAAGGGAGGGGAAAAGGGAAGAATGTGGAATAAATCTGACCAAACTTTTGTATGTACATGTACGGATGTGGCACAGTGGGGACTAGCATTGGGTATATTCACAGAGATAGAGATACAGAGAAAGAGAGAGATACCGACTGATGGAAAGAAGGGAGGAGGGGAGTAAGAGTTGGCAGGGAAGTGCTGGAGGCTGAATTGGAGCAGGTTGTATTCCAAACTTTTGTGATAATGTCAGGATGCATCCTGGTGTTAWATATAACTAAAATCAATAATTTTTTAAAAAATGTAAGCTCTCTAAAAACAAAATGAAATTGTGTTGAGAGATTAAAGACCTAAGTAAATGGCTAGAAATACTATCATAAAGAAGTCACTTTTCCTTGCAATTACAGATTTATGCAATTCAATAAAAATCACAATCTATTTTATAACTTGATAAACTGATTCTAAAAGTTATATGGACGACAAAAGGAGCAAGAATAACCCATGTTGTTTCTAAAGAAAAGGAAAAATAAAAGGAAGAGGGAAAAAAAGAGAGAGGGGATCTTGTTCCACCAGATATCCAAACTTTTGAAGTTTACTCAGACTGCGTTTGACTAATACAGGCTCAGATACATCAACTAATGGAACAAAGAACTCAAGAGTCATATCCAGACATACATGAAACTTCAATATATTAAATATATTGCACATTACTTAAAAAAAGAAAAAAAGAACCCGAAAATATGGAAAACATCAAGGAAACAAAATAAAGGTGGGTTCTTATCTCACATTCTGCCTCTGGCCAAATGTATGAAGTTTTTAGTCATTCTATCTTTTCAGCYCTATTCTCTTTTTCCTCTATTTCTGGTACTCTAATGATAGGAATGTAACATTTTTTGTTATATTACCACAGGTCTCTGAGACTCTCTTCATTTTTTTCTTAATCTACTTTCTTTCTACTCTTTAAAATTTGCTAATTTCTAGTCTTCTATCTTCCAATTCTGTCCTCTCCACTAAGTTTTTTACTTTGTTTTATTGTATTGTCTCAATACTTCTAAATCAATAGAACAGATCAATATTTTACAGAGTTGAAATTCTACAATAATGAAATGCACATTTATAGAACTTAATTCTACTCTAACATAATCAGGATATATTTTTAACTAAGCTAGTACAGCTGTATCAATAATCACAGCACAGTAACATAGCTATAAGGTCTTCCTTTCTTTCGTCCTCTCCTTCCCATTTAGAGTGTCTATTTTAGATTTATCATCAACTTTAATAGGCAAAAAATTAGTGTTTGGGTATGTTTTAAGGCTAACTTTTATATCAGAAGATAGTTTAGAGATGCCAATTTTTCATATACAACAGAAATGGTTTTCAAACTTTACTGTATCTCAGAATTGTCCAGAAAGCTTGTTAAAACAAAGATTACTAGGACCTCTCCAGAGTTTGTGGTTAAGTAGGTCTGGGGTGGGACATAAGAATTTGATTTATAACATGCTCCCAGGTGATGCTCTTGCTGGTAAATCTGGAGACTATAGTGAGAAACACTGTTCAATAGTTTTAGATGAGAGGACAATGATGCCAACAATACAGAATAGATTATTAAATTTCCTTAATTATGTTTTAATTAATTAATTAATTAATTAGATGCTGGAGATTAAACCCAGGGCTTTTCACATGCTAAGCAAGCACACTACCATTGATTTATATCACCAACCCTTTTCATTTAATTTTGAGAAAATTAAAGGATGGCCTTGAATTAGCCATTTTCCTGTCTAAGCTTCCTCAGTAGCTGATTATGTTTTAAAACAGGTCTTAATTATGCTTTATAATTGATTTTATGTCCTTTACTAAATATGAAAATATTAGAATTTATATTATAAGCATAAATTGAATACAGTTGAATTTATCCACAAATGTTATCTTATGGATTATATATAGMAATTTTATTAATAGGAAAGAAAAGGGTATTTTAGCAGGAAAGAAATAAAGGGCTAGTTGTTTTCCACTCTTTAACACCAGTCTTGTCATTGTTAACTCTATGGCTCCTCTACAGTTTTTCTTCCTCTTTCCTATCCCTTCCCACATACCTTTCCCAAYCTAGCTATAAACACCCACTATTAGATACAAACAGACTTATTCAAATATAAATTAACTTATTAACTCACTGAGCACATATACACATTTTTATACCCACACATTTTTATTAATACCATGCTGAAGTAGAAGAAGAGTGAAATCTGAGTTAGTAAGAGAAGAGGATTTTGGCAGAGTCTGAATGGGGAAATTCTTATATAAGAAAAAGAATAATGCCAAGATCTGGAGAATTATATTGTGAGGTTAGGACCAGAGACCTAGATGGGATCTATTTTTGGTGCAAAAGGTAACTTGGACTGAAGAATAATGTAGAATGTTAACATACTATGTTAATGAAACTTGAGTCAGAAGGAAAGGCC